AACATGCTACAAAAACTACAAGCGAAAAAACTGGCAGGTGCTCTTAAATCTCTCCAACTAGACTAATATCAAATTTAAACACTGTTTCTGTGTGTTTGTAGTTTGAAACAAATAAGGAGTGCTTGGCAGGTGATTTCCAGGGGTGGTAGGATAAAAGCATAGCACTGTCTCTCTAAATCTGCCTTCCACATATTTCCCAAGTTCATGATAAACTTCTGTGTGTATTCAAAAACACTACATGCCACATAGCGTGTGCCAGCCCCTGCCCCTGCTCCAGCCTGGGAAGTCTGGGCACTGTCCCAGGCCTTTTGCCAGAGGCAGAGAAATCACTCACACTACAACAAAGGGCACAAGAGAAGGAAACACCAACACCAGCCTCAAAGCTTCCCACTATTCCAGCAGAGCCAGACCCCACCAATGATCACTGTCCTTCCTCCCTGAATGGACTTGGGCTAATGGCCAGGGGGAAATGACAAGAACAGGCAGGAAGAAGTTAGCGTCTGAGGCTGCCATGTGCAGTGGGCATGCTGACTCTGTGAGCACTCCTGGCTGGATAAGAACACCTAGAGGGCAGATGTCCCAGCCCAGGCTGGGCAGGGCGACCATGGCCTTTTTCTTTTTGACTTTTGATTGGGAAGGAGGTGGAGTCTGTTTCCAGGGAGTGCTAGGGGTTGGGGCATGTTTAAATAACCTTTTTATTCTGAAACAGTTTTAGATTAGAAACGAATTCCAAGGACGGTACAGCCAGCCCCGCTGGAACACCTGCAGCTGCGGCCACCACGCGTGGTGTACTTGGTCAGAACACCTGAGGCCTTGGCCTCACCACTGAGGCTGCACGCTGTTCTTGTAGGCCTCTCGCCCGGCCCCCAGTGCCCTGCCCCCACCCCTGCTCCCACCTGCATTGTCACCGAGCCTCTGTCATAAGGAAAGGACCACACTGGATGCTATGTCCAGCTGGATGTGGATTTCACTGGTTTTTCCATTTTCCTTCTTTAGAGTGAACATGTTGCATGTTGCATTTGTGACAGATTCTAGTTTTTATTTATTTTTTAAGTACTGAGGTTTAAGCTCAAGAACTCAGCCATGCTAGGCTAGTGCTCTACCACTTGAGTCACAGCCTTTATGTCGGTATTTTTTTTTGAGATGGGGTCTCAGTGTTAACTTTGCCCAAGCTGGCCTCAAACTCTTGAATCTCCTGACACAGACTTTCCAGTAGCTAGGATTACAAGTGTGTGCTACCATGTCTAGCTAAGATCATACATTTTTTTTGTTATTGCTGTCGTTCGTGGGGCTTGAACTCTGGGCCTGGGAGTTCTCCTTGAGAACCAGCTCTTTAACTCAAGGAGAGTGCTCTACTACCTGAGCCACAGTGCCACTTCCAAAGATCATAAACCTTAATACTAAGGCTTTCAGAACGTTCTTGTACTATTCTGACCTGTCCTTTGCTGACCTATCATCACAAAAGGACCACAGGTAAGATGAATTGATGCAGCATGAACACCACTTGAAGTTTTTGCAAGGCCTCTGATCACCATGTCACAGACGCCCAATCACCATGTCACAGGCCTTTGGTTACTATGTCACAGACCCTCTGATCACCATGTCACAGACGCCCAATCACCATGTCACAGGCCTTTGGTTACTATGTCACAGACCCTCTGATCACCATGTCACAGACGCCCAATCACCATGTCACAGGCCTTTGGTTACTATGTCACAGACCCTCTGATCACCATGTCACAGACGCCCAATCACCATGTCACAGGCCTTTGGTTACTATGTCACAGACCCTCTGATCACCATGTCACAGACCCTCTGATCACCATGTCAGAGGCCTCTGCTCACTATGTCACAGACACACTGATCAAAATGTCACAGGCCTCTGATCACCATGTCATAGACCCTCTGATCACCATGTCACAGACCCTCTGATCACCATGTCACAGTCCTCTGATCACCATGTCACAGACATTCTGATCACCATGTCACAGATACTCTGTTCACCATGTCACAGACACCCTGATCACCATGTCACAGACATTCTGATCACCATGTCACAGACACTCTGATCACCATGTCTCAGACCCCCTGATCACCATGTCATAGTCCTCTGATCACCATGTCACAGACATTCTGATCACCATGTCACAGACACCCTGATCACCATGTCACAGTCCTCTGATCACCATGTCACAGACATTCTGATCACCATGTCACAGATATTCTGATCACCATGTCACAGACACTCTGATCACCATGTCACAGATACTCTGTTCACCATGTCACAGACACCCTGATCACTATGTCACAGACATTCTGATCACCATGTCACAGACACTCTGATCACCATGTCACAGATACTCTGTTCACCATGTCACAGACACCCTGATCACTATGTCACAGACATTCTGATCACCATGTCACAGACCATCTGATCACCATGTCACAGACCCTCTGATCACCATGTCACAGGCCTCTGGTTACTCTGTCACAGACCCTCTGATCACCATGTCATAGGCCTCTGATCACCATGTCACAGACACTGATCACATGTCACAGTCCTCTGATCACCATATCACAGGCCTCTGATCACCACATCATAGGCCTCTGATCACCATGTCACAGATCATCTGATTACCATGTCACAGACATCCTATCACCATGTCACAGGCCTCTGATCACTATGTCACAGACACTCTGATCACCATGTCACAGACACTCTGATCACCATGTCATAGACCCTCTGATCACCATGTCACAGACACTCTGATCACCATGTCATAGACCCTCTGATCACCATGTCATAGACCCTCTGATCACCATGTCACAGGCCTCTGATCACCACGTCACAGACATTCTGATCACCATGTCACAGACACTGATCACATGTCACAGTCCTCTGATCACCATATCACAGGCCTCCAATCACCACTTCATAGGCCTCTGATCACCATGTCACAGATCATCTGATCACCATGTCACAGACCCTCTGATCACCATGTCACAGACCCTCTGATCACCATGGCACAGACACCCTGATCACCATGTCACAGACACCCTGATCACCATGTCACAGACACTCTGATCATTATGTCACAGACACCCTGATCACCATGTCACAGACATTCTGATCACTATGTCAGACACCCTGATCACCATGTCACAGACCATCTGATCACGTCACAGACCCTCTGATCACCATATCACTCTCTGATCACCATGTCACAGGATCCTCTGATCACCATGTCACAGACACTCTGATCACCATGTCACAGATCCTCTGATCACCATGTCACAGACACTGATCACTATGTCAGACACCCTGATCACCATGTCACAGACCATCTGATCACCATGTCACAGACCCTCTGATCACCATGTCACAGACATTCTGATCACCATGTCACAGATACTCTGATCACCATGTCACAGACACTCTGATCACCATGTCACAGATACTCTGTTCACCATGTCACAGACACCCTGATCACTATGTCACAGACATTCTGATCACCATGTCACAGACACCCTGATCACTATGTCACAGACACCCTGATCACCATGTCACAGGCCTCTGATCACCATGTCACAGACACTCTAATCTCCATGTCACAGGCCTCTGATCACCATGTCACAGACACTCTGATCACCATGTCACGGATACTCTGATCACCATGTCACAGACACTCTGATCTCTATGTCATAGACACTCTGATCACCACATCACAGACACTCTGATCACCATGTCATAGGCTCTGACCACCATGTCACAAGCCTCTGATCATGGTGTTACAGGCCTCTGATCACCATGTTACAGACCCTCTGATCACCACATCACAGGCCTGGGCTTTCTCTTGGGGAGATGAAATGTAAAACAAGACAGAGGTAGTGGCTGCACCACCAATAGTAAATGGACTAAATGTAGAGTAAATCTTCACTTTCAAATAGTGATGTTATGCTGTATGAATTTCACCCTCTGCCCCTTGCACACCTAGAGTCCTCTGTGCCAATCTCCCAGGGCTTCTCACTGAACTGGAACACAAGCCAAATTCTGCACCATGCATGCCTCCCGACACCTGCCTGACCAGGGCCTGTGCCAATCCCCACTGTCCCCCACCCCCCCAGCGCTCTCCCTCCACTGGCTCCTCCCATTCTTGGGCCATGCCTCAGTTTACATCTCCACACAGCGGCCTCCTTGACTTCCCTAAGCTGAGAGTTGTGTCTTTGTGGCCCTTGGGCACAGACTCCCTTGTCTTACCCCTGGTACCTCTGGACTCGGTACAGTGCCTGGTCAACAGCAGAAGGTGCCAGAGAACGGCTGTTGAGTTTGATGGGGGAATGAAGGAAACAGTGGCCACTCCCCATGGGGTGGACAGTCCAGCGCTACGGGAGCCACAGGACTTGGAGTGGTGTCTCCAGTCCTGTGCACGTTTCTAGCACTCCCTCCCTTCTAGGTTTTCATGGGCAAGTCTCACATCTGCAAAGGTTGTCCAGAGAGCAGGAAATGGCACTGGGTAGGTGGGGCAAGTGCTGGCTTCCTTCACACATTCCGAAGGGACCTGCGCAAACCACAGAGCTCTGAGACGGCAAGCTTCAAAGCTTGGTAGAGCTTGGAACAACTCAAAAGCCTCTGGTTTTAGTCTAAGCCCCATAGAGTAAACTCCACGTCCTGTAGACCGAACCCATGTACCAAGGCCTCACTGCCACCACTTAAGACAGAATACCTCCATCATTCAACACATTGGCACCTGTTCCTATGGGCCGGTCCCCTGCCCTCATAGGGCCAAATCCTCTGCTCTGCTCATGGGGCCCAATCCCAGTTGTCCCCTCCCCCCAGGTAACCAGCAATCTGTCTGTCCCTAAGGTGCCCCACTTCAGAATGTCATACAAGGAATCATACAGGAACACTGGTTATGTCTGGCTCTTCGTCACTCTGATTAGAGAACAATGTACCTGTACTCTTCTAAGGCCCTCAAGCAGACACAGAAAGTGAGACTTACCTTTTGGAACACCTGGAAGCTGGACTTGGACCATATATCAAGCTGGAAGGAGAGAGAATGATAACATCAGTTTTTACCATTCTGGTCAAGAGACCATACTGCAATGATTGCTATTCTTATTATAAACTCGGATCCAGGACAGGATCCTGGGGTTGCAAAGAATCTTACACATCCTGCTCAAGTTTCTTCTTTCTCCATCTGTGGTTGGCTCCAGGAAATGAAGTGAAGGCACACCGGGAAGTAACCAGAGGCCCTGCTCCAGCCCTTGACTGACCTTGGCTCCTGACCTTGACTCCTCTCAAGACTCCCTTCGTGCGAGCCCGGTCTCAGCCTCTGTACCCAGGGCTTCTCTTATACCTCCTTTAGGCCGAATGCTATTCAATCAGAGGTTTTTTTTTCCCAGTTACCTATCATATTAGTTCTACATCTTGATTCTCTTTGCCTTTTCAAAATTAAGTTGTCTTAACAACTGGCCAGAAGCACCAGTATCTCAGTTTGCTTGTTTTCTGTCTAATTCGCCTATACAGAGTGGAGGCGCAGTGAGGGCAGGAGGCCTCTGCCCTCCCCACCGGATCCGCTCTCCAGGTCCTGAAGGAGGGAGAAGCAGGGGACACATCAGGTCTTTGTGAGCGCAGGAAACCCAGCAGTGTCCAGCTAGCGCTGCTCCTGCCCGCACGGCCCAGGCCCCTTCTCTCTACACTCACTCCTCAAGACGACGACTATGATGACGACAATGACAGTTCAGAGCCCTTCACAGCCCAAGCACACTAATGAGGCCTCTTTCAGGCATCTCACTAGGTTGTACTTAAGCTTAACTGTGCATCAGAAGCTCCTGTTTTGTTTTTTTTGGTCGGTCGTGGGGCTTGAACTCTGGGCACTGTCCCTCAAGGCTTGCAGTCTACCACTTGAGCCAGAGCACCATTTCCGGTTTTCTGAGTGGTCTATTGGAGATAAGAGTCTTACGGAAATTTTCCTGCCGAGGCTGGCTTTGAACCATGATCCTCAGATCTCAGCCTCCTCAGTAACTAGGATTATGGGCGTGAACCACTGGCGCCCAGCGCTCCTAGGGGTTAAAAAAAATTATTTTAAATGGACAGATTCCTTGTTCCCTGCCCTGAGTGTCTCAGCTAGGAGGCCTGGAGCAGGATCCGGATCCTGGTACTGTTTGACTTTAGCGGCAATTGTCTCTGATGCCAGGCTGGTCAGGAGCTCTGGTCTAGAGGGCCTCAACTTGACAAACAAGTAAGCTGAGGCCCCGCTGCGATGTGGGTGGGCCTGTTGCAAACCAGTCCTCCAGACACACTGGGACACTCACAGCACCTAACTTGTTCTCACCGTTCTGGGTTCCCCAGGTGCCACAATACACCAAGTTAGTGCCTTGTGGCTGTTTTGAAGTGTGTCGGGAGCCGTTCTGGCTTGGTGCCCGCATGCGGCTCATGGAGGGTGTAAGGCCAGGGAGCCCTGTGTGTCCGCTTTAATATAGGAGGTCAGGAGCTGAGCAAATTGAAGGGCCTGTGAATGGGCCTCTTGGGGCGGCCTCTGGGGTTGGCCAGTGGTCAAGGCAGAAAGTGGACCACGGTCACTCAGCGTGTGCGTGCCATTATTGACTCGGCATAACGGGAGCGGGAGGGCAGTCCCCGCGTGGCTGTGACATACCACAGGAACAGAAGTGCCCCACCTGACCCGGCCACCTCATAGCTCTGCTTCTACTCTGAGGAAAATACCCACACATGGCTTTCAGGAGAGACCTTGGGAAAGGAGGGGCTGATGCCAACACTTATTAGAGAAATCAGATTCAAGCTTCCCCCAGCCCTCGCGACCCCAACACACACACACACACCCAACTTTGAAGTGGGAAGAACACTGGATCAGAAATGACCCTGGAGACAGTTCGGCTGTCTTTGAAGGCTCCCTTTGATAGCTCCACTCTTTCCCTCTCTTCCGCTTGGAGGCTAAAAGCTGCCTTTCTTATTGATATGGGGTAATTAATGAAGCTATAGCATTAACATAACCTAAATCCCCTAATAAGATAGATTCAACTGAGGCCCTTCTGTTTCCTCACTGCAGTCCGACTGGCATAGAATCAGGACAACGGCCAGGTCTTTCTCTGAACCCTGCCTTTTAGCATGCTGAGTCACGGCTCTCTCTGATTACAATGAGTAGTGCTCGGTAAGTCTGAACAGCATTTTCATTCTTTATTCGAAGAATCAGTGCTTGGGACCCAAAGCTGGCATCCCAGGTAACCATCCGGGCATAGCGCATTACTGCTACTGCCCGCGCAGCCTTGCTGGCTGGCACGGCTTCTGAGGGGAAAATCCTGCTGCGGCTGGGAAAGAGGGGGGGTGGGGGTGGAGGGATAGGAATGGGGGGGTGTGGGCCACCCCACAGCTCTGAGGATAGTAAGTCCTTTCAGAGAGTCTGGCTTCACGGCAGTGTTGGGGGACAGAGGTAAAGGCCGCGGCAACTTTCAGAGCCACACCCCGTGTCCCAGCTGTGCTCCACAAACTTAGCAAACTACAGGACTGTGACTTTGCAACAGCCAAACTGCCAATGACGATTTGTTACGGTTGACCACACCTTCAGCTGCCACAGCACCTTCCAAAGGCTAGCTTGATGGGATGTGTGACACTGTAAGCCACAGAGTGCACTAATGGCCCCTGCATGCAAATGCCCCAAGGGCCTGCACTCCCGGGGAGGGGGGCGAGGCATTTAGCTGCACTCCACGTCTTCTTCTGGTGACTTGTCAAGGGCCAACTGGAGCAAGCCAGTTTGCTTTCCCGAATGTGACCATGTTCCCTGGGAATGTAAAGGGGCCCGCCTCCTCAGTCTTGCTCTGGCCAGTTGGGAGAACCCTGTGTGGCCCTGTGCATGTGGCTACAAAAGGGACCAAGAGGCTGCCTGTCCCACCACACTTCCAACCAGGTTCCCAGCTCACAATCTGAGAGGCCACACCCACCTCTCACCAGAAGCCAGCATGGGAGCTCGTGTGCTGCCTTCAGCCTTGCTCACGACTTCCATTCCTGCTGCTGCTTTTAGTCCCATTTCTCATTTTTTGAGTCTAGCTAAACATTTTCACATCCTAAGCAGGCTATTTCAGCATCCTCTCCCGCACACAACTAGGCTTCTGTTCTGGGACACAGAGTGACAGGAGGGGGTCTGGGCCTGGAGAAGCTCCAGCAGCCCACCCAGCCTTGGGCTGGCCCTGCGTGGCTGTGGGCGGGACACTGCCTCACCAGGGCACGAGTGACAGCAGCAGCACCCAGTTACGATTTATTTCTGAGGACTCGCTAATGCTGTAGTAAGTGTGAGCCGCACACCTGCCGAGGCCATAAATGTCTTATCCTTAGTGTTTTTGTTAATTGCAAGACAGAAGTGTACACAAACACCCATGATGTGCTAATTGTAGTGCCGGTAAAAACTTCACAACTCACTGGCTGTGTCCCAAGTGAAGACGACGTCTGTTGTAAGTAGAGGCAAAGGGGTGGTGGCCCCCTCCAGAGCCCATGATCCCAGGGAAGCAAGGAAAGGGGCCAGAGAGAGAGAGTGGATGTGTGCATGTTGGGTAGACTGGCAGGGCAGCTCTCACAGGGGGAGGCAGCTAGTGGGTGCCAAGGTGCCACCCGAGACCAGAAAGCAAGGCCAATAATTAGGCGTTTGCACACTGGAAAGGAGCTAGGGTTCTCAGATGTGTTCTGCAAGATGCCAGTGTCCTAATACATTCTAAGAAGAAAGGGGAAAACCCAACCAACTCGGTGACCTTGAAGAACAATACCACATGCTCACTCCTTTAGCAACTAAAGGCTCTGAGACGTACTCCAGTAAAGATACTGAACTTGAACTTGGGGCTGGAGATAAAGCTGCCTAAGTATGTGTGAGGCCTTGGGATTTGATCTCCAGCACTGCCTAAAAACAAAAACAAAAAGGAGCTTGCTGCCTTTTTTTTTTTTTTTCACTCAAGGCTAGCCCTGTACTACTTGAGCCATGCCTCCAATTGCAAACTGAGCTTTCTGTAATTCATTGTTGCTCAACCTTTGACAAGTTCCACACCTGACCCTTCCTCCTTGGAAAGGCAAGGGGACAGTCCTGTGGCTATGTATTTTAGGGGTCAGCCTGGGGAGCCAAGTGTGGAGCAAGTTAAGACTGGAGACCAGACGTGAAGTGGTAAGAACAGAGATTCTGTCAGAGTTCAAGTGAGGATGTGGACAGGAGGGGCTGAATGGGAGGGCTTCGGGAGGGGAGAGCCAGCACCTGCTGACAGACTAGCTACAAGGGGCGATGAGAAAAAAGCCCAGTACTTTGTAGAGAGATGGATAACAGGAAAAGGAATGCGGAAGAGACGGTGCAGGGGTGGAGCTGCATCTGGGCAAGGCCTGCAGGAGAGGCAGGGACGAGTGATCTCTGTGTGGTTGTCAGATGAGGATGGGGTGAAAGTCTCTGAAGCAGCTGGGAGAGGGCACACAGACATTTTCCACCCCCCTAGTTCTAGCTGCACAATGAAGACAGTGCTAGCTAGCGAGTACTCCTCAGGTAGTTAAGTGCCTATGTCACTTACTTTGGAGATTTTCAGCATGGGGAACTTCCAGTGACGGGATGTTAACGGTAACTGCAAAGTAGGCAGTCTCCACTCCTTACTAAATCGAGGGTGCTTCATTTGCACCCTGACTTTGTGTATTTGTTGTGATTTACCCTCCCCCAGCTACTTGCAAACAGGCCAGGGCTGTTTCCTCCAGGTGTGACTGCGGCATGGAACCCTTTGAGGTGAAGGCACACAGCAACCCCGTGTGGGGACCATTCTGGAAACCGGAGCTCAGAGTCACGGGAGGCCATGCTGCCTCATCTCCCACTGGGCTCTCCTTGCTTGCTCTGGGGATAGTTTGGTTCCTGAAGGTGAGACCAAAGGCAGACTCTCCCTATTCACACTTGGCCATCACTAAGGAAACTGGGGAAAGCGGGACGAAGTTCCTGGTCTGAAGCTTCCCCTGAGCCAGCACTCTGGAGGCTGTGGACTGCCGGTCGGCTGATGGCTCTCACGCCGGTGAGTGGCGGCAGGACCGCTCTGCCCAGCGCCGCTCGGTGCCTAGCCGCACTCATCACCTGTTTTTGAAGAACACTATTCTCACTGTAATGAGGCCATGGATGCTAAGTACTAGTACTAACAGACTTCAAACACTTTTAATTGGAAACGAGGGTGAAGGGAAAGTTCCTGAGGCAGGGAGGAAGCCCAGGCGGGGAGGTGGTGGGCAGAAGCCAGGTGGGTCTCCCAGGCAGGGTGCTCATTACACTAGGGAGCAGACACAAATGAAGGCTGTCAGATCCCATTAGCATCCCCCGATGCTCTTCACAGAGCCATATGGAGTGTGTGGCCTGAAGAAATTAGGGGTCCACATGGGTGAACTTCCCAAGAAACAGATCTCCCAGGGGAAGGAGTCTTTCAGTAGCAGAAGTGACTTCCTGAGGGTGACTTGTGAGTTTCCCAGAAAAAAAAAAGAAAAAAAAGAAATGTCATTGGGTTGTGACAAACCAACTTGAATTTTCCTCATGGTTCTGGGAAAGCAAAGTGCTGAACCCTGGGCTATTGATGTGCCAGTTGACTTGGAAAATAAAATATCCATTTCCTCAGAAGACACATTTAATGAGGCAACCGGGGTCTAAGGTGATAAATTAGAAATTCAAGTAAGGGCATCAGGTTTAGAGCAAGCAGCAGAAGCAGATGAAAACGGCGAGCAGAGAGGATGAGATGCTGTTTGTACAGTGTTCATCTTCACACTGACAAATCTGTTTGTGGATCATGTTGGCTACGATTGCTAGTATTTAATGTCATTCACCATGGACTTGGTTTGGGATACTGAAAATTAATAATAATAATAATACCCCAGGCTCCAGGAAGCTTACCTTGCCGCCCTCGGTGTAGACGTTCTCATTGTAACCCCTCACTATGGTTCGATCAATGAACAGGCTCCTCATGACGACGATCACTTTCAACACCTTCCCCAAGGTCACCTGTCAAAACACGAGCACACATGACAGCTCCCACCTGAACAGCCAGCTCCCATGAAGTTGGGCGGGCCTGAGGGGAGCAGAGGTGGCCACCTCTCTGTCTCCTGGGGGAAGGCTTGCTCCTTTTCCTCGAAGCACCTGCGAACAGCCTCACCAGCAGATGCTCTGCCTGTACTCTCTGAAGGACGCTGAGGGGCCCGACTCATCTGACCACCGTTCATTTTGCCTTAGAAACTCTCAGGATAGGTTTCACGTGCCTTTACTATCTGCTGGGTCAAGGACCCCTCCTGCAGTTAGGTTTTCCAAAGGCTATGACCCTCTAATTCTGGCATCTGGGATTTTGAGCAGTTGTTTTTCACACTGTACAGTGAGTAAGAGTATCTCCAGTAGCCCCTGGCTGAACTACCTATTTATAGGGACTGATGAAAAGTGGGAGAAAATAATACCAAAATAAAGTCTGAAGGTAAAAGCAAAATAGCTGAATTTTCTTTCCAGAAAAGAAACATGATCCTGGAAATGCATTTAAGTGCTTTTATTCTCTTAGAACCAAAGCATGTATTATAGATTAAAAATCACCTGAAAAAAAAAGTACAGTTTCAGTTTCCCAGATGCCAGGCAAAAAGAAGAAAGAAGCCCCTTGTGCACACGGAACAGACTCCGCCCAGCAACAGAAGCACACCTTTCTTCTTCTTCTTCTTTTTTTTTTGTCAGTCGTGGGGCTTGAATTCTGGCCCTGGGCGCTGTCCCTCAGCAACTCAGCTCAAGGCGAGTGCTCTACCACTTGAGCCACAGCACCACTTCCAGTCTTTTCTGTGTATGTGGTGCTGAGGAATGGAACCCAAGGGCCTCATGCATGTCAGGTAAGTAGTAGTACTGAGTCACCTTCCCAGCCCCCAGAAGCGTGCCTTTCTACAGGGGTTCCCATGTGATGCTCAGGAGGCAGACCTGGCCTGGGACCCACCCGAGGCCCACAGTGTGTCTGGGCTGCTTGGCTGGGGCTGGGCCTCACAGAATCTGCCAGAATGAAGTCTATCTGATAACAGCCCCGGAGCACCTAATCCTTTGGTTTGCAGCCAACCGGCTGCCGGCCTCTGGAGACTCCGCCTTTGGCCATCTCTTCCTTTACTTCCCTGTCCTTGTTGCTTCCTGACTACCTTCAACAATCAGCATCCCCTTTCCTTATCAGTCCTTGGCACCAACGACATCCCGACGTTAATTCTGAGCACTGGAGGGTGTCTCTAAATTGGGGAAGAATATAAACTGGGTAAAGAGTCCGCAACACAGATTTGTCTACATTTAAGGAAATGCTAATAAATAGATCTTGCTTTTGTACTTTTAAATACTATCACACCAGGTTTCATTCAGTGGGTCTTCGTCTGTGTAACTGGAACCATTACTTAAGGATGCCAAGAAACCACCAAGGTTGTATCAGCAACTCTGCCTTCAGCCAAGAGAAGCCTGCTAGAAGCGAAGTCAGCCGAACAGCTTGTAATTACAAGCCCTGAATCAATCAATGGCCTCTCACATAACATGGAGGCGGGCCTGAGAGGACTCCTACAAAAGGGCCACTGCACTTAACTCTCCTTGCTAGGAAGCTTGGGCCACTAAGCAAGTATTTTTGAAAAATTACCAACATCTAGCTCACTTTATTATTACTTGATAACCTGCCTCAGTAAAGTAATTATTTAAGTTTCTGAAGATGGATGTCAGAAATATATACTAAAGACATCACAAATTATTTAATTAATTAATGCTGCAGAACTGGATTTGAACTACAGGCCTTATGTTTGATTGGCAGATGTTCTACTGCTAGTTATACCTCCAGCTGTTTTTTGCTTTATTTTGTTTTTGTTTTTGGTTGTGTGCTTGAACTCAGGGCCTAAGTGCCCTCTCCCAGAGCTCTTTTGCTCAAGGCTAGAGCTTTACCACTTTGAGCCATTGTACCACTTCCAGTTTTCTGGTAGTTAACTGGAGATAATAGTCTCTCGGACTTTCCTGCGTGAGACGGCTTGGCTTTTATCCGTGATCCTCAGGTCTCAGCCTCCCAAGTATCTAGGATTACAGGTGTGAACCACCAGAGGCTTTGTTTTCCTTATCTTTTTTTTTTTTTTTTAAAGGATAGGGCCTCACTTTCTGCCTGGGAGTGTGTGGTTGAACTCTGACCTACCTGTTTGAAGCTTTCCTTCAGAGTTGGGGTGACAGGCATGCACCACCACACTCAGCTTCCCACTGTTGAGATTGAGTTTCAAGATCTGCAATACTCTCAATTTCAATGTCACTCTCCTAAACAACTAGGATGACATGTATAAACCACCAGTATCTAGTTAGTCTTCTTGTTTTACTAGTTAACTTTGGTATTTCGAACTTAATACTAAAATGTTAAAAATAGATGCGCAAGCCAGGCGCCTGGTGGCTCACACCTAAAATCCTAGCTATTCAGGAGGCTGAGATCTGAGGATCGTGGTTCAAAGCCAGCCCGGGCAAGAAAGTCTGAGATGCTTATCTCCAATAAACCACTAGAAAACCGGAAGTGGCCCTGTGGTGCAAGTGGTAGAGTGCTCGCCTTGAGCTGAAGAGCACAGGGACAGCGTCCAGGCCCAGAGTTCAAGCCCCAAAACCAACCAAAAAACAACAACAAAAGATGCTCATTATACAAAAATCATTCCATCCAAAGATAATGACCATCCATTCTTGGAGATTTCCTTTAAATATTTTTATTACTCAAGATTTGTATTTTCTGGGCTGGTGTGACTCAGTGGTAGTGTACTTGCCTATCAAAGTGTTAGGCAAGCCCCGTACCACCAAAAAATATAAAGAAAAAGGTGTGCACCTTATGAATTCCTAACATAGCGACAAATAAAATACAGGTATATCAAGTCCCAAATACACAGGTATATCGGATATATATCAAGTCCCAAATCAAATTTTTACCTCAAATGATGACACAACAGTTGCATGTGCTATGTAGTCTTCAAAAATAGTGCTAGAGGCGACAGGATATGGTACGCGATATACTATTGTTTCTTTGGCTGGACTCCTATTCTTAGATATTTATAGAGCTTTCTAGCTTCCCCTAATACTACTATGTACACCTCTGCCAACAGAGCTTTCAGAGTTAGGGGTTATTTCTTACTTGAGGACAGATTTGCAGAACTGCTAATCACTGCTAATTCTACAAGTACTCCAGGTTTGGGTATGGCCTGCCATACCCTGCTAATTTCACTTTGCATGTCAGCAACGGAGCTGTGACTCAAATGAAAATAAAACAAAACCAAACCTAATAACCTTCCAATGCCAGCTTACTTTAAACTCTTTTTCTTTTTTTTTTTGACAGTCATGAGGCTTGAACACTGGGCCTGGGTGCTGTCCCTGAGCTACTTTTTCTCAAGGCTAACACTCTACCACTTGAGCCACAGCACCACATCTGTATATGTGGTACTGAGGAATTGACCTCAGGGCTTCATGCAAGCTAGGCAAGCACTCTACTGCTAAGCCATGTTCCCAACCCCACTTTAAAACTTTATTAGCATAAATTAACTGTACAAAGGAGTACTAGCTTACCTTTTAGAAACCTTTTATTATGGAAGACTCAGACAAAGGGACCTGAGCCAGCACGAAGGAGCCCCAAGGGCTGGCCTCCACTGCAATGACCTGCCGGGCTAGCCAGTGTCCTCTCCTCGCCCCTGCGTGGCTCTGGCACAGTAAGAGTCAGGGTGGCATGGCTCTGCAGAGTTTCAGCGCATGTCTCTGATAAGGGCTCTAAAAACAACTCCAAACTTGTGACACGATCCCATATTGAAACAACAGTAATTCTCAGTTTCACCAAGCATCCAGTGTAGTCAGTGCTCAAGTCTCATAAGGCCACTTCTGGAACCATTTTTCTCAGTCCAGTCCACAGAAGCAACCGCTCGCTCCAATGACAGCCAACTCCCTTCCTACCACGCCACACTCTCTGGACATCTCGGCGGTTGGGGTTGCCCCAAATTAGTAGACGATGAGATTCACGGTGTTTTAGAGTTTTTTTGGTAAGACTTGTGGGGCTGTAGTGGTGTGTGGAGCCAAGTTGAATGGCTTTCAGATCCCCGAGGCTCTTTGAACTTTGTCATTTCTTATTTTTCACAAAGCCACAAAGGACCTGGTGCTTGTATAAGTTGGCTGAGAGGGATTCATGGCCTTTCTGAATTTTTACCACAGTCAAGAAAGCACTATGTAAATGGGGAGGGGGGGAGGGACACAGAAATGGAGGGACAAAGGGTGAGCAAGTGCAGCAGTGGTACTCACTGGACACTATGTTGAAAATGAATCATTACAACTTGTAGCCGGGTGCAGGTGGCTCACGCCTGTCATCCTAGCTACTCAGGAGGCTGAGATCTGAGGATCAAGGTTCAAAGCCAGGCTGGGCAGGAAAGTCTGTGAGACTCTTTTTTTTTTAATTTAATTTAATTTTTTTGTGAACATACTGTACAGAGGGGTTACAATTACATGGGCAGGATAATGCGTACATTTCTTATCAAGCATTGCAGCCTCCTCCTGTCTGTAAGACTCTTATCTCCAATAAACCACTAGAATCCAGAAGTGGCGCTGTGGCTCAAGGGGTAGAGCACTCGCCTTGAGACGAAGAGCACACAGACAGCGCCCAAGCCCAGAGTTCAAACCCCACGACGGACAAAAAAACCCAAAAAACAAAAAAACCAAACTTGTGAGTGGGGATGGGAGGGAAAAACCAGGAGAGAGCGAGGGAAGGGTGACAAAAAGAAATGTACTCATTGCCTGACTTATATGACTGTAACCCCCGTGTACATCACCTTTGTAATAACAATAAAAATAAAAAAGAAAGAAGGCACTATGTCCCCAATTTCCAAGGCTTCTGAATCAGGAGCAGGAGGAATCATGGCTTGGCATCGCTGCCGGGAAGACCCTGTTCCTATGTCTCTGAATGTGCCCCTCACGCCTTCCGCTCTAGGTTGAGACAATGCTACCTCTGATGCAGGCGGGCACAAGAC